TGATCCTTGTACAAACTTCTATGTCCTAACTGAAAAGAGCATATGACCCTCTATGACCCTCAATGACAGCAAATTGCGAGATGACACCACATGTCAAAAGCATTGAGGTGAAGTGGTAGATGCTAAAGTCTCCGGCATTTCTCTCTGGGGCAATTCGCAGCCAAACTCGCCAGTTGGCGGCTGCGCCACGGCAGTACCTATCACGTGACTAATGTGGCGCGCGACTTTCATCATCGGCGAAAGCAAAGTTCCTGCGACGGATACCAGATCTCTCCCCAAAACATCCCTCCTCTCCCCTCAGCTCTTTCCCTCTGTCCTGTATAGCCTCCGATTCTTGACAATCTTTGGCTCCGGGAAACCTGTTATATAAACTAGCGAATCTTCTCAATAGCGCCTTCTGGGTTCAGTGGCGCGGCGTTCTACGATACCCCGTGCCGTCCCTCCTACATTTCCTCGCCTACGTCTGTGTCACTCCCAGGTCGCTCTTCAGCACTCGTGCGTTTGCATCATGACTACAATGGTCACCGCAGGAACCCCGCTCGCTGAGGCGCTGGGTCATGTCATTCCCCCGAAGCTGGTCGAGATGGGTTGGAGCTCCGACGGTGGCGACGACTCAGCCCTTACCGATTATGTGATCTTGATGCTGGCGAATGGCAAGACTCAGGAACAGATCGCCGGCGAACTCTCCAATGATCTTCTCGGCGGCCTCGGTGAAGGCGATACACAGGCCCTCGATTTCTCGAGATGGCTCTTCGAACAAGTCGAAATTCTCAACCAACAGATCAATGGCGGGGGTGCCCCGGTACCCAACGAGGCTTCCTCTGCACAGGCGATTCCGTCATTTGGCGATCAAGAGTCTGCTCCTACACAAATGTCCGGCTTTGATGGCAATGCGCAAGATGCCGATATGAGCATGGGCGATGCAGCCCAAGGCGACTCGATGTGGGTTTTCTCTCCTCCCCATACCCAAGTTGGCGATATAAACTAACCTCTCTTTCTTTGGTTCTAGACCGACGGGACCGAAGGCCATGCGCAATGGTCGTGGTGGTGGACGCGGTAGAATGCTCAACCAGATAAATCGCTCGATGGACCGTGGGGACTCGGCTTTACATCGAGTCCGCGGTCAAGCTGGCGGTGGACGGGTCAACTCCCACGGCCGCGAGCACGGAAAGGGCCGTTTCAATCAGAATGGAGGCGGCAGAATGCCCGGTGGTCGTCAGATGGCTGGAATGAATATGGGCAACATGATGAACATGACTCAGTCGGATCAGATGCACCTCATGTCTCTACTTGAGGAGCAAGCTCGTATGATGGCGCAGATTATGCCCGGTTTTGTTCCCCCGGCAATCAACCCGGCTTTCCAGCAAAATGGCTCCCAAAATGGCCGGTCTTTGTTCGATCGAGTCGAACGTCAGCATGGCCATCGGCACCGCGGTCAGCGCCATAACAACCATCACGAACAGTCGGGAGATGTTGACATGGATACGAAACCTGATCAGGCTGGACAGGAAGGGGGCCAGGATGAAAGCAATACCAACACTGTCTGTCGCTTCAACCTCCGGTGTACCAGGAAGGACTGCCCGTTTGCACACCAGTCGCCCGCCGCCCCCGAAGGTTCTCCGGTCGACGTTTCGGATATTTGCACTTACGGGGCTGCTTGTAAGAACCGCAAGTGCACAGGTCGCCACCCTTCACCTGCCGTCAAGTCGGCGCATCAGGCGGAGGAGCTCTGCAGATTCTTCCCCAACTGCGCCAACCCTCATTGTCACTTCAAACATCCCAGCATGCCCCTTTGTCGGAATGGAGCCGACTGCTCTCAGGAAGGCTGCAAGTTTACTCACATCCAAACCCCATGCAAGTTCACACCTTGCCTTAATCCGAGCTGCCCTTACAAGCATGCCGAGGGCCAAAAGGGTGCCTTCTCCGACAAGGTGTGGACTCCGGGCTCGAAAGAGCATGTGAGCGAACGGAAGTTTGTTGCAGAGGAGGAGGGTACAGAAGAGTTGATTAAGCCTGACACGGCCGGGGAAGGTTCTCAGAGTCAGGAGATCGCGACTTAGATTCCAGCGTTGGATCAACCTGACCACATTTCTTTTGATGATTCCACATTGTCCAATTCCCCATATGATGCCGGAGAGATCTCATGTATTATTTTGTGTGCGCGGGTGCTTACTTGGGAGGGCGTTCAATTTCGATCTACTTTATGTTATGGTCATGGCAATGGCAGTAAAGAATACTTACGGTGGCTTTGTAAATAGAATCTGGATATGATGAGATTGCTTATGTTCTGCACGACCTAGTCAGTGAGTTGAGTAGTACTTTTCAGCCTTGTAATAGTGATCTTGTCGTTGGGGACTCTTCGTAGTAACTGGAGTGCATATGCCGGTCGTCAACTCTTTATTGCGGTCGGCCATCGGAGCTTCTGCTAGCGGCCCCTCCGCTCCGCAGCTCTTCCGCTTCCTCCACCCCGTTGAGCACCCTGGACACTTGGTTGCTGACCACAGTGTCTCTCATTATCGCTAACATGCGGTTACCATGTGCTTCTAGCCGTGCGTTCCGGCAAGTGCGAGCGCCATTGGCTCTGCTCCACAGGGGTCAAAGGCACGCTGTGCATACCAAACAGTTTGACGCTGCGGTCATAGGCGGTGGCATCACCGGCCTCACAGCGGCCTACCAATTATCGCGCAACCCGTCGTGCTCCAAAGTCACGCTTTATGAGAAGTCCTCCCATTTGGGAGGCTGGCTCTCCTCCGAGCAGATTCCTGTCCCTGGAGGACATGTCGTCTTCGAATATGGTCCGCGGACCTTGAGGACGAGTAGTCCCTCGTGCCTTCCCATGATGGATCTGGTAAGCCAGGACGCCAGTACTAGCTTCAATCGAAGCATCTCGGTGGATTGCCTATGGCTAACAATACTGGATCAATGCTGCAGATAATGAACTTGGATTTATTGGATGATGTTCTGATCTGCGACAAGAAATCGCCCGCAGCTCAAAACCGTTACATCTACTACCCCGATCATCTCGTGCGCCTGCCATTTCCACCCACAGAGGGATTGCTTAAGACAGCCTGGACACTTTTGATGGAGCCGTTGTTCGAGACTTTTCTATATAGCGCTATCTTCGAGAAGCCAAAAAGAGCTGAAAATACCCACATCCTCTCCCGTGACGAATCAGTCGCGGATTTTGTTTCGCGTCGGTTCTCCCCCAAAATATCGGAGAATCTCGCTTCTGCGGTCATGGCTGGCATTTTCGCGGGAGACGTAAACCGTCTGAGTGCAGAAATGGCCATTGGCTATGTACGAGAACTCGAGAAGAGATATGGATCTATAGTGGACGGCATGATGACCCAGAGGGCGTCAGAAATGCGTGCTATGCCAATCGATGAGTTGTTGGCATTGGAATCGGTGGCGGTCCCATCCCACAGTGATGATCGTTACTGGAAGAGCCTGCGTGCGGTGGTCTCAGATGCCAGCGTTCTTACGCTGAAGAACGGTTTGGGACAACTAACAGATGCTATGGCTGCCCAGCTCCGGAGTTCCAGAAACGTGGAAGTTGTGACGGGAACTGAAGTAACCTCGCTTAGCCAGAATCCGAAAACTCAAGACTTGACCGTGAGTGGGAGCTTACATTCTTTTCTACCGAATGGACTGGAAGGCTGACATGAGTGTAGATCGGGTTTGGTAAGAACGAGTCAAAGACTCACAACCGTGTAATTGCCACCCACGCGCCCTCGAGTCTCGCTCGACAGATACAGAACACAAAGGTGGGTGTCGTACCTTCTGATACAATCCGCGACCTAGGACAGAACAACTACGCAGTGACTGTCATGGTTGTCAACCTATATTACGAGGATCCAGACCTAGTTCCAGTTGAAGGGTTCGGATACTTGCTACCTAGCTCGGTTCCCTTTGAACAGAACCCCGAGCGGGCCTTGGGAGTTATCTTCGGGTCCCAGTCCAGCGAAGGACAGGACACTGCACCCGGCACAAAGCTCACCGTGATGATGGGTGGCCATTTGTGGGACGGCTGGAGCGAGTCCGACTATCCTGACCCGGATAAAGCAATTGAGATGGCCCAGGCCTTGCTTCATAGGCACTTGGGAATCAAGACGGCTCCGTCTGTGGCACGCGCCCGGTTGCTCCGCGATGCTATACCCCAGTACACAGTTGGCCACCTGTCCCGCATGAAAGAGCTCTCGCATTCTGTTCGGAGTGACTTTCATAAGCGGCTCACCTTAGCTGGTGCATGGTATGGCACTGTGGGAATTGGCGTAGTGGACTGCATCAGACAAGGTTACCTAGCCTCGTCGTATGGTGTTGGCTCCAAGAAACTTGGCCCTGGAAACAGCCGTCGACCTTGGACCAAGCATGACTTCCATAACTGGGAGCTGGAAGGTGGCATAGCTACTTCCCCGGTTCGGTTCGATAATGTTCACGTTACGGAGCGTCAGCATTACTAGGACAGACCTACACGGGCTTCTGATGTCTATATTAGCATGTAAGATACCAAATGTATGATTAGCTGCACTATGCGGAGGAAAGCGAATATGATCTCGCTAGTAGTGATCCCAGATGTCAATTTGGTACCGCGAGAAGCTAGTATAAAAACACAGTAAAAATGTAACGATGTTACAGAGTATGCCTTTCATCCGGATTAGGCCATCCTCGGTAGACTGCCACGGATGGCTTATGTCGGGAGAAGGGCTATCATGGATCGGGCGAGAGATCCGCGAGGCCCAAGACGTGTAGCGAATATCTTGATACGCTTTGGCTCTAGTGCTGAGGAAGCCGAGCTGCTTCCAAAAGTCTGGTTTGATACTCCTGCATCGACTGTCGTATGGATTGGTATGCTCTAGCAATCAAGTCACCAGAGACCCGGAATAAATGCCGTTTATGGATGCCAGTGACCGGGATGGCTGTAATGGAGCACCTTCAGAAAGTCGCACAATAGGACCTGATAATTAAGAAGTACGGTTACTTCTGCGAATCGGTAGTTCCCTCTACTCCTTCACTTCGGTAGCCTCCTTCTTGTCTCCGTTCGAATCGAACCCGAGGGAGTCCAGTTGGCGAATTAGCTCCTGAATCTTGATCACCTTCTCCAACTGCTCGGGAAGAAGGGCCTCTCCTTGGGCTTTCTTGTCGCGCAGGTCGCGAGCCTGCCTCAGCTTCTTCTTCAAATTGCGGGCCTTCTTTTCCTTCTCTGCTTCAGGGTCGACTGCCTCCTCGGTCTGCGCTGCGTCCTTTTCGGCTCCGTTCGATTGCTTCTTAGCCTCTTCGGGCGCACCGGCACGCCAGTTCTCGATGCGAGTCACATCCTTGCCGTTGGTAGCACCATCCTGTGTCGCCTTGGCCTTCTTTCTAGCTTCGCGACGCTTCGCATTCTTGTTGTTGGTTGCACCACCTGCCTTGCTGGCCGATGTATCCTCGTCGTCCTTCAATCCATCGGCACCGGGAACCCCGCCTTTTCCGCGATTCTTCCAGGCCTCTGCCGCACGGGTTTTGTATAGTTCCACATCCTCAGGAGGGCGGTATCCCGGTCGGACACGGATCTCTCGTCGCTTGGAACCGTCGGCACGGACAGACGAAGGAATGTAGCGTTCTCCTGTGGATTCATTTGTTGTGATCCCGGAGGAACTGACCGCACCAGGCTTGTTGGAGGCCATAATTTTTGTTTTTGTTAGGCGGGGTGTTGAGAGTCGGTCGGGTGGGAAAATGTCAGTGTGGCCTGAGGGGGCAGACAAGTAGTTCCACGGTAAGAATCACCCCCTAATTTAAGGTTTGAGGGTGAATGTGTTGGAATTAAATGTTGTCACAGTTATTCACAAGTCAAGCCCGACAGCGCATTGAAATTGTGGACGAGTCGACGTAAGGTTGATGAATCTCCAGGCGGCCAGTCGGAGGCTCTGCGCAGGTGGTGTTCCGACTGGCCAATCAGCGACCCGGTGATTCCCGCTGTTGCTTTTCGCGGCCGCCAAACCGAACTCGATCCTGACTGGAATCTTCAACCTCATCTCGCCCATCCTCTCTGCCTTGCTGTCTTTCCCCGCTCCCTTCCCTCTCTATCTCTCTATCCATTACCGTCACAATGGCCGGCGCTGTAAGTGTTTTCTTTATATGGGTTTTGTCACAGTTCAATGGCTAACTCCAGGGTGTTCCCGTTCCAGTTCGCTTCCGCTATCTACCAGCATGTCTCCCCTTTCACTCCGGATATCCGATCGATACTTGTCGCCCGTCATGGAATGGTCTTGCTAATTGGAAATCTTTGAACGACTTACAGGGGCCTGATCCGCCGTAACGCGGTCTACCTGACCACCATCTTCGCCAGTGCCTTCGCCTTCGAGCTGTACGTTTCTGTTATCGGGATCTTTCGGGGGTGTGACAATCGCTAAACAATTATCTTTGGAATAGGACCTTCGACACTGCCTCCAACAAGGTCTGGGATTCTTTCAACCGCGGCGTACGTTTCTTCCCTCCCACGACCTTTCCGCATGGGTCATACTGACGGGTTCGTTTCACTACTGCAGCGCCAATGGAAGGACATCAAGCACCAGTACCTCAACAAGGCCGACGATGAGGACGATGAGTAAATTCGGGTATAATACTCGCCGTGTTACATATGAAAGAATAGAAGTGGTGCTAGGGGGTTCAAAATATCCATTCCCATGTTATACTATAGCCGAGTGCCGGGAAGGAGAAGTGCTATAATCCAGGGTGTTTGTACGAGATAGATTCGCAATAACCTGTAACTTTTGTTTTTCAGCAGTCCATCCAGGAGCAGGGTATGCATATGTAGGTCATCCTACCCCGTAGGCCAGGTCAGTAGTCAAGCAACATACGGATGTTGCCCAGCTGGGCGGGGGAAAGCCAACCGGGCGTTCACAGGCCGTGGATGAGAATCGCGGTGGCGCCAAGCCCCGGTGTTTGCAGTGCTCTCGATGTCATGGGCGAACCAACTCTTGGACACTCCTCTTCTCTTCCACATATTGTCTAATACAGTGTCATCGCTTTTTGCTTTCGGAACGACATCTCCATCAGGGGTCCTATGTGAATGAGAGAATAGGAAATTTCCGCTCATGTTATCAACGGGCTACTGGTGCGTGCCGCTGGATACCATAAAACCCGACTTACCACCACTTCCCCCCCCCACGGTGACATCGCCGTGCCTGCTATCGCTCGATAACTAAGCTTCTCAACTGATCTAGATTTTTTCCCCTCCCCTCAACCTTACTTGGGATTTACCACCCCAGTAAACCCGACCGATTTCAACGCCCTTTCACTCCGTGGCTTATTGCAACATACTTGCCGCCACTCACACGCTCGATCACAGGCCGAGCGATCGCAGACTGGGAGATTCCAAGCCCGCCCCACGGAGCTCCCACTCCATCCGACCCTCACCATCCCCTCACTTTTCGGACAGCCCGATGAGTGTCGCGATCCAAGCGCAAAGGCGATAAAATGAGTTTCACGGATAAGGAGATGGTACTCGGGCAAGGCCTTCTACGGCTCCCCGCTGCACACAACTATCGATATGGATTCAATGCAGAGCAAGACCTACTTGAGCTGCTCTTCCACTCTTTAACCGGCTTCAACGAGGAATATCTCCGACTACTCTTCCCCAACGGGCCCCCGAAAGGTGTTTGGAAACTAGCGGAAGCTCAGGGAGCAAAAGAAGGAGCAGAATATACCGAAGCGGCGCGGGGAAAGCGATGTGGTCACATTTTCAGGGCCGGCGAGGCTACTTATCGGTGTATCACCTGTGCTGCGGATGATACCTGCGTGCTCTGTAGTCGCTGCTTCGACGCTTCTGATCACACCGGCCACCAGTACCAAATTTCTTTGTCTTCGGGAAACTGCGGCTGCTGTGACTGCGGAGATGAGGAGGCATGGCGACTACCGCTGTTCTGTGCGATCCATACCGACAGCGAGGATAAAAAGGGCAAGCAAAGGGCTCAGACTCAGCTTCCGCATGATTTGGTCGATAGCATCAGAACGACTATTAGCGGCGTGCTGGATTATTTCTGTGATGTCATCTCTTGTTCTCCCGAGCAGTTGCGGCTCCCGAAAACAGAGGAGGGGATCAGACAGGATGAAGAGGCGTCCCGGCTACGTCCCGGTTGGTATGGCGATGGAGATCTACCGGAGGATGAGCCGGAGTTTGCTCTTGCTCTTTGGAACGATGAGAAACATACCATCCGGGATGTTGCTCATCAGGTCAGCCGGGCTTGTCGGGAACGGGATCGTTTCGGCAACGATAGGGCCCATGAGACGAACGATATTGGGAGGAGTGTAGTCAAATACTCCAAGGATCTGCAGAGGCTGCTGGCTGTGTCGAAAATCATCGAACAGATTAAGGTCACGGTTACAATCCGGTCTGCCCGCGACACGTTCCGCGAGCAAATGTGCGGGACCATCGTCGAGTGGCTTGCAGATATCTCGGGGTGCAGTATCATGGACGATAACGAGATTCTACGCCACACCATTTGCGAGGCGCTGCTTAGTCCATGGCAACAACGCAGCAATGCCGCGAATGCCGATATCGGAATGAAGGGCATTGATGACCATCAGAGGTCTGAAAATGCTCCGTACCGCACGGTTATGCTCACGGTGTCCCCACAGGGGCAGGTGGTTTTGGCTGCAGAAGAGGATGACGACGAGGATGATGAGGATATTGATAATGATAATGAACAAGTCGGCGACGGGGATGGAGACGAAGAATTTGTTGAGACCCATGATGATGCTGACGATGAGGATGAGGATATGGATAGGCAGATTGCTTTACTTCGTGAGCAAGCTGAAATAGAGGATATGGCGGATGAGGAAGATATGGTGATGGGCAACACGGATGACGCTTTTGAGATGGCTCAAGCCATTATCCAACTGGGTCGGCGGTCGATGTCCCCCAACACTGAGCAACAACAGGAACGACAGGAACAAGAAGAGCAGCCAGCCTCAGAGAATCAAGCCCCGCCGCAGTCTCCCGAGCGCGAGCCGAACTCGAATGACACATGCCAACTTCCTCCCATGTCGTATGTTGCCATCCCCAAGACACCATCTGGTGTGGTAAAACCATCACCTGCAAAGACCCCTAGTCATTGGCAAGTCCGACCTTCCGTCCCGGCATTCGGGGAGCATGTTCCCCCATACGAGGATCTCTGGCAGCGTACACGCCTGGACTGGATGATCCTGTTCGATCTCCGACTGTGGAAGAAGACCCGTACCGATCTGCGCGATCTTTACATTGGTACCGTGGTCAACGTTCCCCAGTTCAAGCGAATCATGGGTCTACGCCTGTCGGCTCTGTACACGGCGCTCGCGCAGCTGTACCTGATTGCAGACCGAGAACCGGATCATTCAATTGTCAACCTTTCCCTCCAACTTCTCACGACGCCCTCTATCACTGAGGAGATCGTGCTGCGCGGGAATTTCCTCACCAAGGTCATGGCAATCCTATATACATTCCTGACTACGCGACAAGTTGGTGAACCTTACGAAGTAAACCCGAACGCAACTCTGGCCTTCGATGCCGGTTCGGTGACCAACAGACGTCTATACCATTTCTTCCTTGATCTGAGATACCTCTTGCAGTCAGAGTATGTACAGAACCGCGTAAGGAGTGAAGAGCCTTACCTCGCTCAATTCTTGGACCTCGTCAAGCTTTCCCAGGGTATCTGTCCCAACGTACGTGCCGTGGGAGAGCATGTCGAGTACGAGACCGACGCCTGGATCAGTGCCTCGATTCTCATGCGGGAGATCAATCGGCTCTGCCGTCAGTTCTGTGAGGCATTCCGCAACCCCGAGGTTGATGGTGGCGTGAAGTTGTTGCGAGCAATCCGGACGGCAACCATCTCTGCAATGGTACATTCTACGGGGATTGAGCGCAAGAGATTTGAACAGGCGGAGATTAAAAACTACGTGCGGTTCAAGACTTTACCTCCCCTTGACTTCGAAGTCGATCAGCAACGAGTCCCTCGTTACCGTGTTGTAGATTTTGTTGTTGAAAGTGGTTCGATGAGCTTCCACCATGCCCTACACTACACGCTGTCGTGGCTGCTGGAGTGTGGCCGCAATGTGAACAGTGCTCTGATGCGGGATGTGCTCATGAGTGCTGCTCATGCCGCAAACGAGAAATACATCCACGATAGTCAGCTTACTTCCGAGGATCTGCTCCTCTGCATGTTCGATTATCCTCTCCGGGTCTGCGCCTGGCTCGCGCAGATGAAAGCGGGCATGTGGGTGCGTAACGGTCTCAGCCTTCGGCATCAGATGTCTCAGTATCGTGGAGTGTCGTCTCGCGACTTTGCCTACTATCGCGATATCTTCCTCCTGCAAACTGCGCTGGTGACCTGTGACCCGAGCCGGGTGCTTGCGTCTATCGCAGACCGGTTCGGTATGATGGACTGGATGACCAGAGACTACATGCCACGCCCCGGATATGAAGACAGCCAGATCATCGACGTGGCCGAGGAGTTCGTCCATCTGCTGGTCATTCTGCTCACAGACCGGACCTCTCTCACCGCTGTTGACGACAGCGAAGCCGCAACGCGCGAGAACATGAGCCGCGATATTGCGCATGTTCTGTGCTTCAAGCCGCTTTCTTTCTCGGACTTGTCTACACGCCTCAGTGACAAGCTGCTTGATTCGGACCTGTTCCAGGATGTTTTGGACGACGTTGCAGGATTCCGTCCTCCTGAAGGCTTGAATGATACAGGAACTTTCGAACTTAAGCCGGAATATATCGACTTGATTGATCCTTATAGTGCTCACTACAGCAAGAACCAGCGGGACGAAGCAGAGAGCATCTATAGGGAGTGGATAGCCAAGAAATCTGGGAAGAAGGCATCAGACATTGTCTTCGAGCCGAAGCTGCGCCCTATCACTTCTGGCGCATACTCGGAACTTCCTAAGTTCACAAGGACGCTGGTGTTTGCTCAAATTGTCCATCATTGCTTGGACTACGTGGTCTCCTCGAAAGAGCGTACTCCCAACATCCCGCCTACCCGTGTGGAGACCTTCCTCCAGGTTGTCCTCCACCTCATCCTTGCGGCGTCTCTTGAAGATAGTAGCGAGGATGATGGCTCCTCACCGTCATTCGTGTCGCATGCCTTGAACAAGGCCAAGGAAACGACTCTGGCTGGATCATTAACTATTGTTGGTCTTCTGGAGAAGATCTCTGTCATGAGTGAATTCTCCGCCTGCGGGCCCAAGATCCGTCATATCCTGAAAAGGCTTTGGCAGAAGCGCCCTCAGGCCTACGCCTCCGCCACTGCCTCTCTCAAGTTTCCGTTCGATCGGGTCGACACAAGCTCCCCTGCCATTGACACCGACAATGAGAAGGAACTGAAGAAGAAGCAGGCCCTCGAAAGACAAGCGAGGGTTATGGCTCAATTCCAGCAACAGCAACAGAACTTCCTTAACAGCCAAGGTGCAATTGACTGGGGAGAGGAGGACTTTAGCGACCTCGAATCCGAAACCGAGACTGCTCCCGAGACTAAACTATGGAAGTACCCTAGTGGTACTTGCATTCTCTGCCAGGAGGAAACAAATGACTCCCGACTCTACGGCACATTCGCCTTGATCCAGGACAGCAGTATCACGCGCCTGACAGACATCAACGATCCTGACTGGATCAGGGAAGTGATCAGGACACCGGCGAGCTTGGATAAGTCTGCGGAGCACATCCGTCCTTTTGGAGTCGCGGGAGAGAATCGCACGACGGTTCGCCGACTGGACTCTACTGGTGGTGAAGTGATTAGCGAGAAGGTTGGATTGAGTAAAGGTTTCAAGGCCACGCACACCCTTCGTGGACCGGTCACCACCGGTTGTGGGCATATCATGCACTACTCTTGTTTTGATGCCTACTTCCTCGCTACTCAGCGCCGCCACTCGCAACAAATCGCGCGGAACCACCCTGAGCGTTTGCTGAGCAAGGAATTTGTCTGTCCGCTGTGCAAGGCTCTAGGAAATGCCTTCCTTCCTATTGTTTGGAAGGGTAAAGAGGAATCCTACCCGGGGGCTCTGAATACTTCTGTGCCGTTTGATGATTTTATCAATACAGAGTTGAAGTCGGTCCTCTCGCAATCGTACAATTACGCAGTGCTTGCGGAGAACAACAATGTGCAGCTACAGCTGTACCAGGATCTATTCAGCAATTACCTGTCGAAGGCCTTGGTTCCTCCACTGGCAACTAAGGTTGATCAGCTCATGTCGTCGCAGTCGTCGTCAACAACGTCGTCTCTGCCCTCCGCGACTCACTATATACCAACAGCGAGGATGCCGATGCCTGGCCTCTTCCCCTCACAGGACGAGAACTCAACTACAAGTCCGCTGCAGGAAGCTTCGGCCCAAAGCGGAAGCCCCATGTCTGTGCTCATACAGATCTACAAGCGACTGAAGCAGACTATCCGGATGAACCACATCCCATCCACCTTCAATCACCATCCGGACACCACAGACACCAATGACCTGGTGCACACTGACTCCTTGTTCCAGAGTTTCGGCTTCAGCATTGCTGCTACTGAGATCTCTCAGCGCGGAGTTGAGTCAGAGCCAGGGACGACTTTGTTGGAAAAGATCCCACAGCTGACTCTGACGCACCTCCGAGTCTTGGCTGAAAGTGCCTTATCGTACGCTGCCGTCGGGTGCGTATACAATTCTAATGGCCCTCATACTCACAGCGGGGACGAATTTCAAGAGCTTCATCGCCATAAGATATGTCAGCTCTTTATCGGCCATCCCTGCCTGAGTGGCAGCGCACTGGTAAACGAGATGCGTGAGATTGAACCGCTACTGGCAAAGGATACTTTTGTCTTCCTGGCCGAATGTTCGCTATCCTTGCTGCCGGTGCTGTCTGTTGACATTCGCCACTTGATTCAAGTGTGCTACGTGGCCGAAATTGTCAAGGTCGCGGCCACCTACATCCTCTGCCCGAAGGGTCTGAAGGAGGAGCTGGCGCAGCATCGTGACGACCAGTATCTGTCTGAGTTGGGTCAGACAGATCCGCGATACGAAGCGAGCCGCCACTTCTTCCACTCGATCGTCACCGAATTGAAATCCAACTCGGTAGGCCACGCGGTGGGATCATCGTTCCCTGCTGAAACTGGCTACGTCAAGGACGGCGTGGAAAGTGCAACTCCGGATGTGGTGATCTCGCTGAGGCGTCTCATCTCCAGTTACGCATTGGCTTTCCTGCGCAAGGCGGTCATCCTACTCCACGTTCAGCACGGCGTTGAATTCCCTAACACTGGTTCTCACGACGCGAATGCGTCGGAGCTGGACCGTCTGACCAATCTCCTTCACCTGCCGTCCGTTGACGAAATCTTTGCATCAATTAACCCGGCTCGGGAGAGTGGTAAGCCGTTCGATGCTATGATCTCCGGATGGATCTTCCACTGGAATGCGACTCGGTCGGGCGTCCGGATGGGCGACCTTAAGCTGTGGCCGAGCCTTCCTCACCCGGCCATTTTCGAGCTGGTCGGACTCCCCAAGTACTACGACAGTTTGATCGAAGAGGCCAACCGGCGGCGGTGCCCCAAGTCGAAGAAGGAGCTGAGTGATCCCAGCATCTGTCTCTTCTGTGGAGATATCTTCTGCTCGCAGGCAGTATGCTGCATGGAGAACAAGCTGGGCGGATGCAACCAGCACGTTCAAAAGTAAGTCCATTTCCACCACCTGTTTGAAGTATCTGGAGAACTCTGCTAACAGCAAGTAGATGTGGCAAGAACATTGGTTTGTTCATCAACATTCGCAAGTGCACTGTGCTCTACTTGCACAACCGCAATGGATCCTGGCACTACGCACCATACCTTGACCGACACGGCGAGGTCGACCCGGGTCTCCGGCGCAACCGGCAGCTGATCCTTAACCAGAAGCGCTACGACCGACTGCTTCGGGACGTGTGGTTGTCGCACAGCATCCCAGCTACCATCAGCCGGAAGCTGGAGGCGGACATCAACAACGGAGGGTGGGAGACGATCTAGAGAGGGGGCCTGAGGAGTTATCGTGTTCTGTGTTCAGCATTGGTGTGTTGTGATGTGATGTGTTGTATCCTGATTTGGCTTGATGACCCGTGCCAAAAGCTCCTGATGACTTTGCATGCATTTGACCGGATTAATTATTCTTGAAGATAGTTTACATATATGTATCTACGATGCAGAGGTGTTTTGTCTGGACGATGGTGGTTGATACTATATATTCTATGCCTTTTGCTTGATCTTGATATGGATCAGTCAGTTGATGCTGTCAGTAGTAATGGTTTGGCAGTGTGAACTATCATCTGAATCGTGAAATTTTATGTTGGTCATTAAACTAGGCATTGATCTACATGTAGACCTCGATATGAAACAAGGTCGGCCGTGTGTGACTCACAGGGAGCTTTTGTGCCGTGGGGATAACTCTAGCCCTGGTACTAACCCCCATACTGTCATTGGTGATCTGCTGAGACAATTTAAGCTTTCGCTACAGCCATAGCTTATACACAGTAAGATTGTGAAGGGGAAATTGCATTAATCTAGATTATTTCCATCCATCTTTATACAGAGTTGATAGTTCATGATGGGCTACGGCTTCATAGCTCCCATGTGTCTCTATTGCATAACCGTTCCCTGTAGACACTCGACAGCAGCCAGCTAGCGAGCAACGGCTCACAGTGGTTAACACGGTGGAATCCAGCCAGCGAATCGGGGTGAAGCCAATTGACATTGCGCATCCACATCGTAGTATCACTAGTAGTATGATCGTCACCCTCCATGACTTCACACGGTTGCTGCAAAGGTTCACCGGGTTGAAACCTACGCGGGCAGGATCGGAGCAAGTCGCTGGATCCCTCACGGACCACAGAGCTCCAGGTCCACGAAGAAAAGCAGGATGCAATAATCCCCGCACATCGGAGAGTTGTGTGCAGGTCAAGCAATTAAGCAATTGGCAGCTGTCATCTCCATTACGTACCGTGACTTTCATCCCCCCCTCCCGTAGTAGTATTTATACCTGCCCCTCCTTCTCCCCCGCTTCTTCTTCTTCCTCTTTTCTTTCTTCCATCATCTCAACAACCGTCTACTATCTACTACTTCTACTCAAGTCTTCATCGACTTTCATCACAAGTCATCCTCTCCCATGTTTGTATCCCCTGTATAGACCATACTAACCTCGTCCTAGAAACCTTCCGTGCAATGTAATTCCACCTGCATTGACCCCCTTCCCGGGGGGTCTCGTCTCAATACTTAATTACACACGATGGAAGTCATGCAATGCCTTTGGCTGGACTCTCTCAATGATCAGGTATCTCAGGTAAATCTTGGGCGTGGACCGGTGTTCGTTCCCATCCAGTGACAGTGTAGCACTGCTGCCTGCCACCGGCTCTGGGTTCGTTCTGAGATTATACGGTTAAACTTGATCTGGATAATACCAGCGAAAGGATCATGCCTTCCCTCGTATCCCCCCGCTAGATGGAATGGCTAACAATTCCCAGTTCACACACTTAAAGCAACATGTCTCCTCCCGCTGCCATCTTCGAGCCCACCGTGGTCCCCACTGGCATCAAGTCCAACGTGGTGGTCCCGGAGGCCGCTCCCGTCACTGGCTCTTCCCAGACCCAGCTGCTTGACCACTTCGCTGGCAAGTGGGACAACTTCAAGTTCGCTCCCATCCGTGAGAGCCAGGTCTCGCGTGCTATGACCAGACGCTACTTCCAGGATCTGGACAAGTACGCTGAGAGTGACATTGTCATTGTGGGTGCTGGTTCTTGCGGTTTGAGTACCGCGTATGTTCTGGCCAAGGCCCGTCCGGACTTGAAGATTGCCATTGTCGAGGCCAATGTCTCTCCTGGTTCGTTCTCCAACAAACCCCCCACCACCCACCTACTCATCCAGCTAAACCAACATACTGACTCATCCCAGGTGGTGGTGCCTGGCTCGGTGGCCAGCTCTTCTCCGCCATGGTCATGCGTCGTCCCGCCGAGGTCTTCCTGAACGAGCTGGGCGTGCCCTACGAGGAAGACCTTGCGAACCCCAACTACGTCGTGGTGAAGCACGCCTCGCTGTTCACCTCGACCCTGTTGTCCAAGGTTCTCTCCTTCCCCAACGTCAAGCTCTTCAACGCCACCAGCGTGGAAGACCTGATCACCCGCCCCGCTGCCAGCGGCGACCCCAAGGATGTCCGCATCGCCGGTGTGGTCACCAACTGGACCCTGGTCACTCTTCACCACGACGACCACTCCTGCATGGACCCCAACACCATCAACGCCCCCGTGATCATCAGTACCACCGGCCACGACGGTCCCTTCGGTGCCTTCTCAGCCAAGAGACTCGTCTCCATGAACAGCGTCGACAAGCTGGGCGGTATGCGCGGCCTCGACATGAATTCGGCCGAGGACGCCATCGTCAAGAACACCCGTGAGGTCACCAAGGGTTTGATCATCGGTGGTATGGAGCTGTCGGAGATCGATGGCTTCAACCGCATGGGTCCTACCTTTGGTGCTATGGTCCTGAGTGGTGTCAAGGCTGCCGAGGAGGCGCTGCAGATCTTTGACGAGCGTAAGCGCGAGTGCGCTGAGTAAATGTCTCAGTTAACTTACATTTGAGTGTGAGGGATCACATGCAATGTGTTTTTCTTCACTGGTTATGTGGAAGATTCTGCACGTGGAGTGACTAAATTGCAACACACACGAGGATGATGATGATGATGTCGCTGCCTTGTTAACGACACTCTTTATGATCAATATGACTATTGCTTGTCTATCAATATTTCAAGAAATCGTAGGGTATTAGACTCGTGTAGATAGACACCGGTCCGGATACTTGATTAGCGCTAAGCCAACGCCCCAGCACATAAACGAATGCATGCATGCATAAGATGCACAACTTGAACAAAGAATGCGTAGACCCAACTACTACTTAGGACATGACCCATACTGCCATTCAAACATATACACCATCTCATTTCTTTCCAGATTTACATACTATACATATACACAAAAGCTTATTATACCCAATTTTCCCCAAATTTCCAAAAGAAAATCACCCTACTCCACCTTCTCCCCCTTCCCGCCAACCGCCTCAGCAATCATCTTCGCATTCCTAACCTCCCACTCAAACTCCTTCAACGCGCGCAACTCACTCGACATAAACAACCCGCCAATCAACCCATCCAAAATGCCCGCTCCAAAGCTCAATGTGCTCACCAGAACCAAAATAAATGCTACGTATGGTAGGTGGTCGCCTGTCCACCACACTCCAATGAAGCAGCCAATGGATATTATCACCGAGGCCAAGAAATGCGCTACGCGCCACCGGCGCTGTGATCGCTCGCGGCGGACGTACGTGTGGATCATGTCGATGATGCGGTCGTAGGTATCGGGTGTGAGGGCGGCGTTCGGGGCTGGAGAGTGGTGGGTAATACTGGTGTCGTTGGCGGCTTTCTCTGATGGGATGCGAGTGATAACTGCCTCGACGGCGAAGTGGTCGCTCAGGGAGCAGCGGAGGGTAGGGTGGCGCTCTGTCATTGAGAGTCGGGTGGATTCGACGGACCAGCGCGGCGCCGGGTATAATGGGGGGTAGTTGCCGTCTCCGACGAAGATGTAATCGAGGCGTTTGCCTTTGGGACATGGGGCATCTTTGTCGACGACGATGTCTTGGCCTTTTTCGAGGCGCTTCTGATCTTCTTTGGACCACCGCCAGGTATTGAACTTTCCGTCGCAGGTGGCGCCGTTCTCCGTAAGGTTGTATTCCGCTGAAGGTACGGGCTTGCCCCGTTTCTGCTCGACGGGGTCAATGGCCGCGCCGACCGACGAATCCGGATGCAGGACCTGCCATGCATCCCGGACGGGGCTGTGTGCCTGGATCAATTGATGCGCGAACGACGACGGCAGCATGTTGAAGTCGCCCAGACCGATAACGAGATGTCCGCGCTCCGCAGCCCCGCGCATAAGCTTCGCGATTTCCCACGCCTGTGCCGTTCGATGACAGATATACGAATCGTTGGGTTCTCGCTCGTAGGGGGCGTGTAAATGCGTGCAGAACACCTCCGCGACGTCTTGGACTCCGGGTCCGAAGCGGACGCGCGCGCATGCCACACCTTTCCCGACGTACCAGTCGCCGCGGAAGAAGGCCGTGGGACGCCCGTTGAGCGGGTATGCAAACATGCTACTTTCCTCGATGGGCCATTTGGAGAGGATGGCGAGACCGGCGCCCCAGATACCGCCGAAGTAGAACTTGCCGTAGGGGAGGATGTGACGGGTTTGCTGACGGATGGATTCGTAGTCTTGTTGTGTCCAGCATTCTTGAAGACCGACGATTTCGGGCGGCGGGGAGGCAATTGCGAGCTGACGGCCAATTTCAGCGAGACGGGCGTTTCGGTGTTTGGCGATGTATTTGAGACCCCAGCAGTTTAGGGTGAAGATGCGGATGTGGGTGGGGGTTGAGGAGGGGGAGGGAGAGGGGGGTTCGGAGGTGGCAGACATTGTGGGATGATGTAGTATTGTTGAATTAGAGGAGCATATCGTAAATTATAGTAAGAATAATAGGAGATAGAATATGAGCAATAGAAAGACTAGGAAGAATAAAGGAAGATGATATGGATGATTAAGGGGGATGTAGATGAGGTGGAGATGAAGCCAAAGTAACGAAAAACGATGAAATCATGGTGCTCACCGCCTTGAGGCACATTCTGGGGAAAGGGGCTTACCGCCTTCCCAAAAGCGCCTGATTGTCACGAGGGATGAAAGTCGCGGCGATGAAAGAAATCATCGCGATCGCTGCTTTTCTGCTTTTTCTCCTTCCCTCTCCCTGTTTTCCCACAATTCTCTCGCGCCGTTTTTCTTTCTTCTCATGGATGGATCCATGCATCGCTCCAAGCGACGTCGCCTTGATACCACTCCCAAGCCCCAGAATGGCTTCATCCATTCGCCCGTAGAATCTTCGTCCGACGAGCTGGCCGCGGGCTCCGACCACGACGAGGCCGAACGCCGCCGCGCCAGCTGGTCCATTCAGAAGGCATATCCCCCACAGCGCCCATATCGCCGCTCGCGCAGCTTCAGTGGCTCCGAGAGCCCCGACGAGCTGGCAGTCGACGCGAAGGAGTATTGGTCGGCGAGGAATCGCGGTCGCAGTCCGTCCTTGCCCTCCGAGCCAAGCGCGGAGCCGTCCTCGGAGCGATATCTCGACCACGACCACGACGAGGCGGAAGAAGAGGAGGAAGACGTGGCTCCCGAGCCTGGACTCGACCCCGAAATTGATCCGGAGCAGGAAGACGGCGGCGCCGAGGGCGATGTCGAAGAGACCGCAACCGCCGCCGACGGTGATGTAGCTGTTGATCAGTCGTTTGGCGAACGGTCGCCCACCCCGGTGCCGCAACCACCGCCGCCGCCGCCCAAACCGGACAAGGTGACTTATCACCAGAAGTATTTATTACGGGGTCATATTCGAGGAGTCTCGGCAGTACGGTTCTCGCCGGACTCTTCGATGATTGCTAGCGGAGGTGGGTTATATGCTCCTCTCCTTTTTCCTCAATTCTCCTATGTATATATTGGGTCGCTGACAGTGTTACTAGGTGCGGACGGGGCTGTCAAGGTATGGGATACAGTGACGGGTCGGTTGATTCACACATTCGAGGGTCATCTGGCAGGCATCTCGACCATCTCGTGGAGTCCGGACGGGGCGACAATTGCGTCGGGATCAGACGACAAGACGATTCGCCTGTGGAATGTATTGACGGTGGGTTTACGTTGCAAATAACCGTTTGGTAATATTCTCGGGAACTAATAAGTTACAACAGGGCAAGGCGCATCCGATTCCCTTCGTCGGTCACCACAACTACGTCTACCAGATTGCATTCTCGCCCAAAGGCAACATGCTCGTGAGCGGATCCTACGATGAAGCGGTATTCCTATGGGATGTGCGATCAGCGCGAGTGATGCGGTCGCTGCCCGCACACTCCGACCCGGTCGGAGGCATCGACGTCGTCTGGGACGGCACCCTCATTGCCTCGTGCGCGACAGACGGACTGATTCGAATTTGGGATACCGCGACGGGCCAGTGTCTGCGGACGCTGGTGCACGAAGACAACCCGCCCGTGACGGCGGTCAAGTTCTCCCCGAACGGCAAGTACGTGTTGGCGTGGACGCTGGACGACTGCGTGCGACTGTGGGACTACGTCGAGGGGCGGTGCATTAAGACGTACCAGGGCCATGGCAATAAGAAATACAGTCTGCAGGGCGGATTCGGAGTATATGGGGAACGGGGCGGACCGCGGTATGCGTTCGTCGTTAGCGGCAGCGAGGACGGAGCTGTGCTGTGCTGGGACGTGGTCAGCAAGCAAGTGCTGCAGCGTCTGGAGGGCCACAACGGGGTGGTGCTGGGAGTGGACACATGCACGCTGGAGGAGTCGCGGCTGATGGTGAGCTGCGGGTTAGACGGGACCGTGCGGGTATGGGAGGAAGCGAATGCAGAAGCAGAAGCAGAAGCAGCAGATACCACGAACACCTCCACCGCCAACACTCCTCCCCAAATAAACGGAGACGGAATGAATGGAGACACGGTCCAACAACCGAATGGGGACATGGAAGTCGAGAAACCAAACGGTCTACCAGAAACAAACCACGACCACAACCTCGAACAACCGAACGGACACAAAGATGACCCGGAACCGGAACCGGAAGACACCGAAATGGGCGAAGCCACAGGCCCAGACGGGTAACACCAATGTACATTATAACCAGGAAACAAAAGAAAAATAAAAGAGAACAAAAAAGGCTGGCTGGCTGGATGGGTGGGTGGACGGACGGACCGGCGTTCAGGAATGTATAATAGACACGAGGGATGATGAGATACAGCACTCGATACATTATCAACTAACCACAACCAATTATTATAATATGAATTGAGTGGATGTCCACATACACAGAGACATCCACTGACTACTGATCTACCTAACCACTTGTCATGACACGGATTCACGTACACTTGGATGCAGAAATGGCGCAACTGGTTGTTGCGGTTCAGAAACCCTACTTACATTGGCACCATATCTCCGAATTGGCACGTAATGGTTAAGTTGTAGCTAAGTTTGTCAATGCGGCAACTCTTCCATTGTATCCGTCATCGTGACTGCCAAACACCACTACATTCAATTAAAGCTCAACCCCCAAATTATATGGAAGAAATGATTCGTGTTATTTTATGCTCCATTTGTTGGTATCGTTGAAATGTCTACTCAGCCTCAGCGCCGTGTTATACCTCCACGACCTCGGGGTCGACTATTGCTCGGCCCTCGGCCCAGGAGACACTTACGGATTTGTCGTCATACACTCAACAAAGATCGCTAATCAACATCAACATCAACCGTAATATATAACAATATCCCGCACAGAACCAACTTCATCTGCTCGTTACACGAATCTATCTCAACTATTCTATAGCCTAATTACTCACCAAAAGAAGCATCATGGCTCGACTACCCTATCCAGAGTCGCCTAAACAGCATGCCAAATCGCATCCTACGCTCAACATCATGAAACTTCTATCCTACAGCACAGCAACTGTTGATCACTGGGCAGGATTAGGAAACGCCCAATTCAGGCAGTTATCACTCCCAGCCAGAGACCGTGAACTGGTGATTATGTTGACAACGTCAAAGTTCAACTCAACCTACGAATGGACTCATCATCTTCCCGTATCCTTGAAGGCCGGTGTGACCAAACAGCAGCAAGCGGCGCTCAAAGCGTCCGCGAAGGAAAAGAATTACTTCATCGACAGGAAACTTGACAATGGGGCGGCGGGATTCAGCGACAAAGATCTTGTCCTGCTCAGCTTCGTGGAAACAATTATCCAGCAGCCTGAAGTTAGTGATGAGCTGTGGAAGAGCGTTAAGGGTGTATTCTCCGATAGAGAAATTGTGGAGATCATCAGCCTTCAGGTTAGTACATATTAAATTCTCCGTTGTATATTGTAGATGAGAATCTAAACTCTTGTTATAGGGGTTTTATTACTCGTTTTCACGCTTGACTACTGTTCTGCAGTGCGATTTTGATGATTGGGCCAAGTCTAAACTTTGATCTTTTTCTTTTGTAAATGGAGCGATGGATTTTGGGCCGATGGGAACTATCTAATCATGACATTTACCCTACTCGAGAAGCTCCTATTCTAGCTCCTTACCCACTCCTGACATTGTGCCTGATAGCGGTTTTTCCATTGTTCAGTTAGTTCCCAAACAGGCGATAAAGCTTCTGAATGGCCCCAGAAAACGGAGACTTGTATATATGGTGTTACTCATTTACATGGAAAGATACACAATTACTACAACATCAAGAAGAAATCCATTGTCGTTCCTACTTAGTCCAGCTTGATTTTTTCCAGATACAGGCCGTGAAATGAATCGTCTGCCGTATGTCTACGATCAATACTATAGCCATCTCGATGGCATTGTAGGTTAGCCCGGACGGAGGGCTGCGAATCAGACAGATTACTCGAAGAGGTATACCAATGATTTCCCAGTACAGATTCCCGATAAACAATTATAGGTCATCCAGATTGCGACATTGAATTATTGTCAAGGGCGGCAGGGTGAGTCGTTTCCTCGAGGCAGAGGATGCCGCAGATTCATTGTCCTTGATGAAACATTTCATATCAGCCATTGATCGAGGGAATTATGTCAGATCGGTAAGCTGTACAACAAAATTCTTTACCATTTAACTACTAAATTATTCTTATTTCATAAATTCAGGTTTTCTCTTATCCTTCCTACTCTGCATCAACAAGACCTACATCACGTGAATCATAGCTAACTAATCCAGCGGCTTACCCAACCAAACCTATTACTGCACGGATCAGAAATAACCCAACTATCCAACAACTGCGCCATTTTCTTCCTTGCAACCTGGTACAACCAACCCATTCAACACTATTCCCCTCGAAACTACTACTTCACCCATCCCCCTCGTCTAATACCCCCAAGCAGGAACAACGAAAAAGTAACTCACTAACTGACTGACCGTTGTTACACAAGCAGCCAAGCAGCCAAGCAGCCAAGCCCACGCAACAAAAAATCCAGACTCTCGGGACATATCACAATAAATCTCACCAAGAAAACCAATTTCCCGAACCATTGGAACGGAACCAACTAAACCCAAACCCCACAACCACTAAACTACTTATCTCACAATCAATCAATCAATTACTTAAATTGAATCGCATCACAAGGGAAAGCAAAAAGAAAGAAAGAAAAAAAAAAAAAAAAAGCCAAGCGAGCCTAGACCAAACCCAACATGGTAAAACCTCATGATAATCAACATGAACAAAACCAGATGAGATCGAAAGCTGGAAACCCAAAAATAGCCTTCCGGCCAATGAAGATTCACCACGGGGTGCAATGTCCATGGATGTGTAGAAGTCAACGGGGAAAGGAGGGAGCAAGGACCAATGTTGCTGCTTTCTGGGTCGGGAGAGCCGTGGAACGGGGACTGGTTAGTGTGTTTAGGGGGATGTATGTGGATTCTAATTTGGAGGTTCGGTCGGGGTTGGGGTCGTGAATGTGATTATGATTTTATTTGTTACAATCTTTGTGGAAAAGTTGTTATTTGGGTTTTAATTTTATTTGATTTGACTTCAATTGGACTTGTATTGTATTGAAGTAAAATGGGTGGGTAAAATGGGATGCTCATCTCTTCCTTTCGAGGAGGGATGGCATAAGAATGGTAGGATAGATGAAAACGACTCAAAAGGTATCACGGGATAAAAGGCAAGGTAAAGCAGATCTAAATGGAATCAAGGTAGTTGTAGTTGTCTATGCAACGTAGACCTTTCCACTGGAGCTCAACTCTTCCCCGCTGAGCAGATAGCCGTCTGCACACATGTAATACGCATACCGTCCCACGCCACTCTGGCTATCCAACCACGGCAAAACTTCGTCGAGGAAGTCCGCCGCTGAAGTCTGATCGCCGTCGGACGATTCACCGCTGGTGAGGGCAAACTCAGTCACCCAGGTCTCGTCCAGTCCGTTGTCGTCCGCCACCTGCATAGCCTCCTGCACGAAGGACTTGAACTCATCGGCCGTGGTGCCGTACCAGTGGACTGCCAGCACTGACATGTCGCACTCGCTGCATTCGGACAGGAAGGACTTCATCCAGCTGAGACCCTCGCCTTCGGTGGTGCTGCTGGTGACGGCAGGGGTAACGAGCTTAGCCTTGCCAGAGTAAGGAGTAATGTACTTCTTGTAGGAGCTAGCGGCTTCGGAAGCAGTCATCGAGGCTTGGGAGGAGGCGTCGGGCTCGTTGAATCCCATGATGTAATTGCTACCGCTGTCAAGGGCAGTCTCGATGGCGGTCAACCAACCTCCAAACATCTTGCTGCCCCACAGCATGGGCACGTATTCGACGTTGCTGGGAAGGCTGCCGTCGGCGTACATGTTCCAGTCATAGGCCCAGGAGACAGTGCCGTTGCCGGAGGAGCCGGAGGTCAGCGTGTGGACGTTGGAGACAGAGGTGTAGGCAGCGCCACGCTTGGAGGAAGAGCCGCGCTTGGAGGCGACGTGGGTGGAGCGGTGCTTGTGGCTGCCATGGCCGTGGCCGCCATGAGGGATGGCCAGAACGGCGGTGGCCAGGGTGGTGGCGGTCAGAAGAGACTTGAAGGAGACCATGGTGTATATGTTCTTCGGGTTTTGTTCGGTTTTTTTCGGAGAGAAGTGATGTGTATGTATAACTTTTGAGTATGAGAATACCGGTTCTCTCAAAGCGCTCTTGCAAAGAGTGGCTGCTAGACTACTAGGAGTCAGGCAATATGTTCAAAGAATGAAGGAATGGCTTGACCGTGCACGGCACAGGTGCAAAGAAGGAAAGGCTGGGGAGGTGAGAGAGGAAGATCTAGGTGACGAAGAGAGTTTCGAGTAGGAGACAGGGAGGGGAAAGAGGGCGGTTATATAGACGCCCGACAACGGGCAGTGGCAGTTGCAGAACAACTTAGGGCTGGGTGCTTTTTCTAGGCGCCCATTCGGTTCCGACCAATCAGGTCTCCACAGGGAGGAAGGTTTTTTGCTCTTTGCATGAGTAAAGTCCGACTAGTCACTAGTCGTTGCTTTTTCCATTGTTCGACGACCCCCTCTGATTGCCTGCGTCGGAGCGTTCCTGACCCCCTGCATCCTCACCGCGGCCGACCCATGGAACGTCATCGGGCGGGTACCGTGTGTCGCTCAGGGACAGTGGGACAGAGAAATATTGACGCCCATTATTCAGCCCGTGTGCCTGGCGGTTGGCAGCGACTGGACAGCAAGCGTCCGGGGGGAACCTTGCGGTGGTTGTTCCTGCAGTGGTGCGGATACCTGCAGCTGATCGGTCCAGTGGATGTATCCGACTGATTCCCCCTACTTTGGATGGAGGTGTATGTCTACCCAACAGCTTCAATCATCTTGTACTTTTGTGATCTTTGTGCAGCTTTTCTCTCGACAATCACTCTCAACAATCCGGTTCTGTGCTGGGTCATGTCGTCCAACCGTCTGGCAGCGGCCAGACCGCGCCTTTAGGGCAGCACTAGTTTAGTGGCAGTTTAGTTCACCATCTGGCCGGGATGAACGCCCACTGCGCGCCCCCCACTGCAGTCCAGACTCGAAGGCATTCCCCTCGTCTGGGCGCCATGCCTTGTTCCCCTCAAGTAATGCCGATAATTTCTGTGCCCTAAGAACCACACCGCAACCATAGTTGACCTGTCGTCAAGTGTACCATTCTGCAGAAAAGATGCAGAAATCGTAGACGAGCTACATCAAAGGGAGGTTCTACTGCTTGGCAAATTGGCATCTACCCCCCCTTCGAAGGGATTCCCTTTCCTTCTACCCAACCCTTTCTCGGGGGTGGGATATTTTTGTCCCGTCTGACGTTTGGGAGTTGCGTGGCGTCAAAGCCACCATTATCACTGTCGGGCGGAGAAAGGGCTGTAGGCAGCGACCTCCGCCGTGAGTCGGGTCTTTATTCGCTGGATTGTGTTTGTTTCATCAAGGCAATGGCGTCAGGCACGGAATAAGCAAAGAAACGAATGATTCGCCGAATTTTGGGGAGATTAAAGTCGATATACTATTGGCTCCAGATGTAAGCATCACTAGTCAGCTAATAGTGTTGATGCTTGACGGCCGCGATCCATCCTGAAGGGCCCCTCCCTCACTGGCTGATGGGGATGGTGATGCGTCCCGGCCGTGGAGCGTCTCAGCAAGGAACTAATGATGGTGGCGCAACGGCATCAGACTCCACCGATCGATCAGGTTGATAGTATGATGGTCAGAAGCTGAATATTGAAAGGACTTAGAATTTAGGAGTCAACTGATTGTTGTGTTGGAAATAAGTGTAGGTGAGAATGCGACTGTGACTGGCTCAGTCTGTTGCAGAAATGAAGAAGATCAGTCACCTGAAACCAGGAACAGCAAAAGCAACGTGTGGGAAGAGGAGGGGGAGAATGAACGATCATTGCAGACAAAGAATGGACTCGATTTCGAGTCTGTCAGTCAGTCATTATTGATCAGATCACAGCATACCGGCAGTCTCCACCTGCGATCGCAAGAAAAGCCAACAATGATTGTCTCCGATTTCATCTGCTGCAAAGGCAAACAATGCAACACATCAGCTGACAATAATATTACTTCCTTTTTGCAGTATCAATATTAAAAATTTATAATATACTTGAAATATTTCAGATACCATACAATGCAATACTTACTGCACTGTTCCAGTCAATCCTTCTCTCTTCCCCTCGCGATCGACAAATCTGCCTCAACCGACAAAATCAAGCAAAACACATGGCACTACCAATTCCATCCCACGAACTACACTATAATCATAGTCAAACCTAATCGCATTCTCATCCACCACTGATCTGAAGCATCGCCCTCCCTCCACCGCGATTCTCAAACGAACTCAACTCCCCGTCACCGCCGATCCACCTGCGTTTCAGATTCCCTTCGCTGCACCCAATGACAACCGGCATTGGGCTGCCTGCTCACCGACTGCCAGGTACCCCCGCTCGGATAGACAGGAACAAGCAACTCGCATCCCGGGCATACCACGTACCTTGCAGTGGATCAGTTCGTCACTGCTCGCTATACGTCGGAAATTTCTGCCTACGCAGTACGCACATGCCAGCGCCGTTGCGACGCAATGCAACGTGGTTGTGGATATGTGCCGGGGACATATCGGAATTCCGCTCCACACCGATGGAATGAAAGTACAAAAAGTACTCTAGGCAATAGCAGGTCGACATATCACCGGATCTCGACGGAAATCCTGCAGCTCATTGTGTTGCTAGCCCCTTGCCAAACATGTTCATCCTGGTTCGAGAGGGATCACAAGGTAAGGAAAGTGCCAGTCGCTTCACGCCAAAGTTAGGCATTATCGAGGATCAATCTCGAGGCTGTTGGGACACTTTGTAAGGCATCCACTAACTTGCAAATTCTTCGGATCCTATTGCGATCCCATGGTAGAGCGTTCATGTGATGTGAACCACTACGCAGCTTGCACGGTCTGCTGTTGATAACATCAGGGGGCTGTCCAGTCCTAGTGATTTGTAAAGGCAGTCAACTCCGCATACGTAGTGTCCGTCTACTCATCATTGGAGTAATATCTGGTTCCCGTCTGGGTAAATCCGGCCAGACTGCTTGCCTAAGGTATCATGGAAAGCGTGCTATCGGCCTTTGGAGAGCTGTTACACGACATCAACGGCCTCTGCACTGGCATACCATGACATGACTCATACGCAGTCTTGGAGTCAGTGTGTTCAAGTCTGCACCAGCAAGCCCCACGCTTCCAATCTCGTGCATATCTGGCTCGAATTGAAACCTTACTCTATGGTGTGTGGTGTAGTCTCGGGAGTTATTTGCGGCCTCCGAAAAAAGCCTCCTCGCATCACTAGAATCTCCGACAAATCCGTCACTAGCCTGCTCCATCATTTAGGCACCGACGCGTAGTAGAATTGCATGATGGGTTGACGTCTGGACACACACCTCGACGAGTTTGGTAAGGTGAACAAGCCCAACACTGTCTGGGTCCAGATCCGTTAGACCCAGTGACCATACTCAACGGATAACCTTCGAAAAGTCTAGACGCCGGTCGAGTAGTCAAGAAAGTCTAGTCATGATGGTCCAAACGAGTGGACCATATGAAGCTGGCATATTGGACAGAACGGTAATGGGTCAGATAGGGGTTGGATGCCTGCTAGTGCTCGAAGTGGCAAGATGTTCGCAGAGCAGGTATCCCACGAACATCATCACCTTTTGCTAACTGGAGGGACTGTCTACCTTGCTTATTAATGGACACAATATAAGCTATTTTGCTCATATGGATCAATGAATCAATGAGAAGCCATACAGCCCCTTGATGCCTTGAAGGAAAAGGCACAGACTGCATAGCTCCTCCATTAGTTGGAGTGTCTGCTTTCCAGGACTGGGCCTATCGATGCAGACAACTCTCGATCTTCTTGACCACGGTGAAGTCTTCGATCTTGCCATTGGTGTGTTCTTTATTACAGAGGCTGTTGTTCATAAAAGCTAACGTTTATGCAGTCCCGGCTTTTAGTCACTATGTATAGGCCACATAGAAAGTCCAATCGACCATTCTTTCCTGATTGAAGAGCGTAGAGTATAGCACCAAATGCCTAGAACGGCAGGCCTATTGCTGACCAAGGAAGGAGCACTTCTCGCAGCACCCCAATTTTCTTGACCATTGTGTGATAGCTTATTTATGTCGACAAGTATACTACTATGTTGAAGACAGCCTTTCCTTTCCGTCCTTCAAAATCCCTTTCTATATCACACAATGTCTGCTTGTCGGACTAAAACCCTTTAGTGATGCCACTCCAAAGTGGTCAGACGAGAATATCGGGAGACATGCCAAAGCCGCCGTAAGCCAACAGTCTGATGGCAGGTCGCACTTCCCTAATAGCTGCCTAGTCTGGTCGACTCTAAATTAGGCTGTTTCATTCTGACTTCTAAAATATCGAAGGCAGCTGGTACTTGCGTCCTCTCAACGCATATCGAGCTACAGTGCCGTACTAAACTGATAAGATTGTTATATTGCAGTGGAAGCAACCACCAACGCCTGAGTTCGTCATTGACCATGATGGCGGTTGAGCAACAGCATATCGAGTAGACCTCCCGGACAGCTTCAACAGGGTAAGATCAGTGTCGGGGTGCGCCATAAGCGGAGGAAGATGTGTGCGTCACCAAAAAACCCAGTTATCTCCTCATGAAAGTGGAAAAGGTAATCTGGATCAATATTCTGCTATACAATGAAGTATGCTTGCGAACGCAGCATTTTACATTTCCAATAGCGAACCCAAGTCTTGCTGACTTGATTCCTGAGGCCACTGACAAATGTTAGCCTTGAGGAAGTCCGCACTAACTAGTTCGGGAATCTATCCACCGCATAAGGCCGTATTACTCAGCACCCCAGCACAGCAATCTTATGTAACCGGCTAACCGAAGGGGGCAGCGGATAGAAGCCCGGTGGGGCGCCACCGCACAAACGCGTGACCTCGCAGCGAAACAGCGAAAATTCCACACCCATCGACCTTTGCTCGCAACCCCGACAAACGCCATCGACAGAATCCCTCCTTGTTGTATCTGAAGGTCAGATTTAATCGCCAAGATGGGTAAGGTATGTTCAACTGAGATAGTCCCCTCTGCTGAAAATGATGATTTTGATGAAATGATGGAAAAATAAACTAACATGCTCTTGATTCCAGGTTCACGGATCGGTAAGCCTCGCCTCCTCGTCCATCGACGATATCCCAACACCACAAGACAGCATCCATCTAACATAACTTCGCAAATCACAGCTCGCTCGTGCCGGTAAGGTCAAGGCCGCCACCCCCAAGGTCGAGAAGCAGGAGAAGCCCAAGAGCCCCAAGGGCCGCGCTCGCAAGAGACTCATCTACACTCGCCGTTTCGTCAACGTTACCCTGACCGGTGGCAAGCGCAAGGTATGAATGAACCAAACCGACCTGGCACAGATTCGATATTCGACACAGCACGAATCAGAGAGTCTGGAAGAGAGGTTCAGTACAGTACGGCTTACATATATATTTTTCTACTATCTACAGATGAACGCCAACCCCACCCAGTAAACGGCCAAATCTTCGATGAACAACCGCAAAACGACGAACGATTCCCCGGGTTTCATATTGGCGTGATGGGAAATTGAGGGGCTGAGCAAAACCATGTGATGCGTATCTCATCACAAAAGGCGCTTGGAAAGAAGGAGGGAGGAGGCCATCCCTTCGCTTTTTCTCTCTTTTCAAGCGCGGGGGGCCCGTTTAGTGATGTTTTTTTAAAGCTATTTATCGACTCACCTTTTGTGTGTGGAAACGGGTTTTCAAATGGAATGACCTTCCCAGATGATTGTTTCATGTTTTTCGAGTCTATCGGATCTTGTTTGGGATGAATACCATCGCTGTTCAGTCTCTCAATCATCGTTTTTTCTGGCCTCTGGCTACGGATGTGCTGGACATGTCCGCCTGTAGACTGGGGGGAGTACTGGGGGTATCCGTCACGGAATGAGTCACAGTGGCGAGGCTGACAGGCTCGCACTGATGGCTTGGAATGCGCGGGCTATCAGTTGACAGGCTGAGTCTGAGCGTCTCCCTTCGTTTCAGAGGATGCCCAGCGATGACGTGAGATAAGCTCTCGCATCCTCCCACCCAGCTCTGTTGTAGTCCTACGAAGAGCAGAACTGCAGCACTGTAGACCAAATGATCTCCCCTTGTAATTCGTAGTGATAGCTCAAAATACCTAAGCTATCTAATACCGACCCGTAAGTCCTACGCAACTCAAATTACGGCATAACCATATCCAACTCACATGCTACCCCTCCAAGCTACCCCTCTATACATCTTAGATACTGCTCGAAAGCTCAACTAGCAAATACTCACCCCAACCCTGACCCCATACTCCTTCACCCAATTCTTCCTCTTCCCAACCTTCTCAACCTTCTCCGTCCTCTCACGCAACACATCCTCTAGTACAGCAGTAACCCCCTCATTCCTCCGCACCTTCACCCTCAACAAATCACACCTCTCCCCCTTCTTCACGATCTCCTCCCACCCCGTCTCAATCTGGATCCGCCACTGCCCCTCCACCACCCTCCCAGCAGGATACACATCCCCGACCACAACAGCTACTCTCCCCAGATACTGAGCCCACCAGACTTCCTGCGCCGTGACACACCGACTCAGTTGCTTGTGGTACGCCTGGTCCATGGGGGCTAGGTCCCCGGTCCAGCGCTCACAGAGCACAAGTGCGATGAGGGCTCGTTCGACGTGGGAGAGACAGTTCGTGGAGGAGAGGAGACCCGTCGTTGTGCTGTGGAGGGCTGCGGCGGAGCGGGATTCGCGGGGGACTTGGGAGTGGGCGTAGAGGAGGTTGGCTATGGCTGCGATTAGGTTCGTGGTGAAGGATGGTGGAGGGTGGATTGAGGTGAGGGGTGAGGGTGAGGTGGGTAGTGCGGACTGGAGGAGGTCTTTGATTGCGGTTGCTGAGGGGGGTGCGTAGGGTGCCGTTGCTGCGAGGAGGGGGTCCTGGGCGCGCACTTCGCTGGGTAGTCGGTTGAAAAGGAATCCTTCGCGAACGCCGCCTTGACAGAATTGGATGTGAGTGATCTCTGGTAATGCGTCCATGATCACGTTCACAAGAACGGCCACGGCGGGGATCTGGGAGGCGCGGCGTTTTGATACGCCGAAGATCTTCTCGTCCGTGTCGGAGACGACGTCTAGGACGGAGACTGTGTCGTGGAAGTCCTCTCTCTTGACGCGGAATCCGTTGATGATGGGGATTGGATACGGGTTGACTTTGCTCTGCTTCATCAGGACGTATCCCCAGCCGCGGAACCCGCCGCCGCAGAGATAGAGGTCGAATCTGCCTCGACTGCGAGCCATCTCTACCAGCGCGTCTGGGACGCCCAGCTGGCGATATGCATCCTGGAAATTCCGCGTCATCTCGCTTCTCAGCTCCTTCACAGCACCTTTTCCCTGCTTCTGAGCCTCCTCTAACCGTTTCGTCAACGCCGCAGCTCCATACGGGAAACTGAACGAGCCCTTCGGACTCGTCGTAACGGTGCCCTCTGTCTCCATCACCCATGTAATCTGTGTGCTTCCGCCACCGAGGTCCATGGCGATGCCTGCCACGGAGGCAGAGCTGCTCGCGATCCCTAAAGCCCCGATGCGCCCTTCATCTTCCTTCGAGAGGAGAGCGACTTCCCACCCGGTGCGTTCTTTGATTCGCGCTCTGAATTCCTCGGAGTTCGGGGCCGTTCGTGTCGCCTCTGTAGCCAGGACGTAGATGTTCTCCTTGGGGACTTGGAAATCGTCGCAGGTGAGTTGGAATTGGGCCAGTCGGTCGACAACTTGCTCGGTGATGTGGGGTGGGATTGGGCCCCGCGTGGGGCCGGAGAATTGCGCGTCGTAGAGAGAGATGCCGGCTCGGTCTTGGAAGAGGATGGGCATGATGCGCGCGGCGTGGGGGGAGGTGTCTGTTATGGAGAAGCGGATGCCATTGCTGTGGTTTTATGTTAGATTGGTGTTATCGTTATGTGGTCGTGTGGTAGGGAAAGGAATGGTTGTGGGTGGGTTGTATACTACTCACCTGCCCATGTCCACGATGCCATAGAAATTGCGACTTTCAGCAGTAGAAGCGTTCGCCATTTTGGATGTGAGACGCAGTTACTGCGGATGTATGTATGTAGTGGAAGGGTATATATGCAACAGATGGTTGAGAGAGTTAGTAGCCTAATCAAGGCATTTCTATGCTGGTGGGGTGGTAAGCGTGCGCCCAGATTAGCGCTTGTCGTTGAGCGATGCACATGATCGATGGTAGTAAAATGGCTGTTGGCTCACTGAATAAGATTATGGGAGAAAAAAGATGGCCTTTGCCTTCGAGTGCAGTAGTACGATGCAGACAATTAAGTTGTGGTTCGATTTGAAGTTCGGTGGGGGAAGGTCTAGTTGTGACGTCGATATATTTCCGTGGGATTAGTACTACCCCTCCAATTATCATGCTAGTGCTTCCCAATTAGGCACCACTACTAGTGGGCACAAAAGACCTAGGAATCAAAGGGCTATCTAATTGAGTAGTACTTTTTCTGCGCTCTCACTATTTTATATTGTAGATTTGTACTTTATACAATTGCGGGTAAGGAGGCCAAGTACATATAGTACTAGTTACCAGTCCCAAGAGGAATATATCCAGGCCCACATGAACCAGATAAATCATGTGTCTACTTAGTTCGTACAATTCAATGTCCCGCAACGAGCATAAGTACCAGAATAAATCCAACATTTGATACGAAACCATGGGAAAAATATATCCAAATTGCGATTGATCACACAAAACTTGCCTTCCTCTGCCTCCACTACATCGAGGTAACAATCAAATTTATAACAAAACTGGTATACTCCTCATTCCTCCGCAGACAATCGTTCCAGGACTCCCTGGCCGATTTCATCCAAATCTGGATGATATCGCAACTGATACAAATCTATCCACCAACTCTTTGCATCTTCATTCAGATCAAGACGCTGTCGTAACGACCTCCTCCATTCGACATCCTCCTTAGTAAAGCCCCATGCGCTCCAGCGCATGATGTACAGGGATTGTTCATACCCCTGGCTTGACTCTTGCTATCTGGAGCGTTTCCAGCCAAAAAGTCTCCGCAAACTAAAACCACATCCAGAGCACCTTCAGACTTTCATCAATAGCTGGGAACTACTAGTAACCGTGTTGAAGCCATGCGCCTTGTTGTAGCTGGGCACAATAGCTAAGGGTTCCAGCAATACATTTTATATATTGGGGTAATAAGACTAAGGTAAGTGGTAGAGAGGAATGAGATGAGATTTGGCTATGCGCAAGTACTGAACAACATCAACTCCTGGCTCATTTCAACAATAATAACACATTTCCTTGCATGGGGTGTATATCATAGTCTGTATTCTATGTACCTTGTTCCGAATACATCATCACGTCATCATAAGTCATATCATCATAGCAGCACCGTCGCACAGAAACACCCAGCAATTACAGCACGTATCGGTAATCTGCTCCATAGTTCTCCTCTCCTAGAGTAAGATCTCCCTTCGTGGTTGCTTGGGCAGCCCTCTCGGCTGCAGTGCCATACTTCTTGTCCAATTGACGGTTTTCCCAAACAAGCAGTGTCCGTAGAGCCAGTGCTAGGATCACGGTGAAGAACATGAAGGCCGCGCAAATTGACTGGCCTCGAATATAGCGAGGTGCGTCACTCGCTGGGAAGACATTAGTTCCCAAGAAAGGCCCGCATTGCCCGATGATGTTCAATATAACAATACCCATACCCCGCCGAGTATCTGAGCCTTGGTTGTCTACATTCAGATGTTAGTCATATGATCAATACATAGCTAGTGTTGTACATACTCAGAACCCATGGGAGGATATTGGCGATCGAAGGAAAGACCCCCACTGCTGCCAGGAACACTCCAAAGTAGCGCACACCAACGGAGGTGCAGGTCGCAAGCAGCACATATCCAATCGCACCAACGAGCGACGATAAGGCAATTACCAAGCCTCGCTGCTGAAGCCGATCGGCCAGCCAGGTAGTGGCGATCGTAACGAGGAACGAAGCAAAGTAGGGCGGTGCCGTCAGGCCTTGAGCATTAATCGCGGTGAAGCCCATGTCCTCCAAAATTGTTGGAAGAAAGACGGGCAGCGAGGAAAAGCTCACATTGCAACTGAAGTACATCAACTATACCATCATTGTCAGCATACCACTTGGTTGAAAGAGCCACCATAACATACCGCAGTAAGCCATGCCTTCGCATCCAGCAAGGTCTGCCACAGTTCCTTCCAGTTAATGCCGGTCACCCGCTCGCTTTCACCGCTGCGTCGAAGCGACCGGGCGCGTGCCACCTCTTTCTCTTCTTCGGTCAAGAAACGGGCTGACGCGGGATGATCAGGCAAGTAGAACCATGCTAAGAAGGCTGCCACAAGCGACGGGCTGCCTTCAACCAGAAAAAGCAAGCGCCAATTGGCGATCTTTGCATGACCGGAGGTGATACCATATGCAAGAGCGCCTGCAAATGTATTGGCTAGAGGCGCAGCTGAC